TTTGGAGTGATGTTGTTCTAACGGCCTATCATCTTATTAATCGGATGCCCTCGTCAGTGTTAAACGGTAAATCTCCTCATTCTGTTCTATTTTCCGACTCAGCTTCGTTTAATCTTACTCCGCGGGTCTTTGGATGTGTGTGTTATGTCCATAACCTTGGACCCGGTCTTGATAAACTCGATCCTCGTGCCACTAAGTGTGTTTTTCTTGGGTAGTCTTGCACTCAGAAGGGCTATCGTTGTTACAGTCCTCATTTTCAACGCTATTTCACTAGTGCTGATGTCACATTTTCTGAGTTTCTCCCTTATTTTTCTGATTCTACTACTCCTCTCGATATTACTTTTGAGCCACCTATGCCAATGGTTCCCTCTCCGTTTCCTGCTTCCGCACCTCCTCGCTCTGTTGTTCCATTGCAGGTTTATACTCGACGACCTCGACCGCTTACTTCGCTCCCTCCATCTCCTTCAGAGTCTTCGGATCCGACGCCTTTAACGGATGATTTGCCTATTGCTCTCCGTAAAGGTATTCGGTCGTGTGTTACTACACATCCCATTTCTAACTTTGTCTCTTACCGTCATATTTCATCTTCTTTATCTTGTTTTTTATCCAGAGTGTCTGCTACTTTTGTTCCCAAGACTTTGCAGGATGCTCTCTCTGATTCGGGTTGGCGACAGGCCATGGTAGATGAAATGAATGCCCTTCACTGTAATCGAACATAGGATCTTGTTCCTTTACCTCCGGGCTCCAAAACGGTTGGTTGTTAGTGGGTTTATACAGTTAAATACCTTCACGATGGGTCTATTGAGCGGTTGAAGGCTCGTCTAGTGGCAAAGGGGTACACTCAGACTTATGGTGTTGATTATGATGAGACTTTTTCCCCTGTTGTTAAGATTTATTTTATTCGGGTACTTATTTCCATTGCTGCCAATTGTAATTGGCCGTTGTTTCAATTGGATGTCAAAAATGCCTTCTTACATGGTGACTTGGTTGAAGAAGTTTATATGGAGCAACCACTTGGGTTTATTGCTTAGGGGGAGTATCGTCACACTGTTTGTCGCCTTAAAAAGGCCCTGTATGGATTGAAACAATCTCCACGGGCTTGGTTTGGAAAATTCTCTGAGGCGGCATTAGAATTTGGCCTTAACAGATGCCAGACCGATCATTCGGTATTTCACCTGCGCACTAAAGCTGGCTTCATTTTTCTTGTGGTATAAGTAGATGATATTGTGATCACAGGTGATGATTCTGAAGGCATTGCTAAGTTGAAGTTGTTTCTGCAAAATCGATTCTACACTAAAGACTTGGGTAAACTTAGGTACTTCTTGGGTATTGAAGTTGCTAGATCCAAGAAGGGTATAAGTTTATCTCAACGCAAATATGTGTTGGACTTGCTAGAAGACACGAGTATGGTAGGTGGTCGTCCAGTTGATGCTCTTATGGATTCCAATACAAAACTTGTGTCTGATGAGGGTGATCTATTTAATGACCCAGGTAGATTTCGTCGCCTTGTTGGGAAATTAATTTATTTCACTATCACTCGACCTGATATTTCATATGCAGTTAGTGTTGTAAGTCAGTTCATAGAAGCTCCTAGAATGCCACATTGGATTGCTATTCTTCGGATTATCCGATATCTCAAGCAAGCTCTAGGTTTTGGGTTACTATATAAATCAAATGGTCATCTCAGGGTGGAAGGTTTTACAGATGCTGACTGGGTTGGTTCTCCTTCAGATAGGAGATCTACTACAGGCAACTGCACATTTGTAGGAGGAAATCTTATTACATGGAAAAGTAGGAAGCAAACGGTGGTAGCTCGATCTAGTGCTGAAGCTGAGTATAGGGCAATGGCTCATACCACTAGTGAGTTGACATGGATATAACATTTTCTAAAAGAACTTGGGTTAACAGTTGAAGCTCCTACTCCATTGTTCTGTGATAATCAAGCAGCTGTTCACATTGCATCGAATCCTGTATTTCATGAGAGGACCAAACTTATTGAGGTTGATTGTCACTTCATTCGGGAAAGAATATTAAGTGGGAGCATTTCTACTCCATTTGTGAAGTGTGAAGATCAACTAGCTGATATGTTTACCAAAGCATTAGGTCATAACCGGTTAAGGATTATCTATTCCAAGCTGGGATTATTTGATATATATTATCCAGCTTGAGGGGGAGTGTTAGAATGTTTATGTATATATATATTTATGTTGGGTCATTATGTAATTACCCATAGTTGTTAGGATCATTGTGTAATTAGGTAACCTTGTATAATTAGGGTTGTTTGTTTTCCTTTATATAAACCACTGTAGGCTTAAGGGTGTAAGAGTGAAATATATACAAGAGACATAAAAACCTGTCTCTCTCTCTCTCTCTCTCTCTCTCTCTCTCATATGAATTAGAACAATAAATATAGGTAAATTTACAATTGATAGAGAAGCAATAGAAAATGAGGAATTGTCTCCATTAGAATTAATGGAAAAGTTTCTCCATTGAGACAATATGATGAACAGATTTTTCCAACTGTAAGATCAAGACAAAGATAACTGTTTTGTTCAATCAAAACAGAAGCTGCAAGTCTTGTAGGCCAAAATTAACATAGTGGAGGCTCTCATAACAAGCTTGCAAAGCAATAATGTGAGCAGAGTTAGCAGCATTCCTATTCAACCTAGCAGTTGTCAGTCTAAATGCTCCAAACCATCGATGTAAACACACTTTCTGCGGAACTTGGATCTCAATGAAGCACCAGAAATAGCAGCAAACCAGTCCATCAAATCCAAGAAAGAAGGAAAGGTCTAAAAGAAACGCCAACCACATACCATGACCAGAGTTCCAAGAGTCATCCCCTTTGAAATAGTTATGATACACTGAAGAAAAATCAATCCCCTTTTAGGCAATTGCAAAAAGTAGGAATAGCATTATGCAACACAAAAACTACAATGAAAAAGAACTAGGGTCTGCTCCATTCCAAACTACTTGAAACCAGTGAACTCTATTGCTTGAGGCTTTGCATTTAATTTTAAACAGATTTTAAGTTGAATCTGCCATGCTTCCTAAGGATAGAATATAAGCAATCACAGTAGAAGACAAAGGATGCCAAGTATTATCAAGAATGATGGTTTGAAGAAAAGAGTGCTTAGGCAAACCAGAGTGAAGCCAGACTTATGAACAAATCTATGTACCAAATTCATACCATCAGCCCAAGATCCAGGAATAACTGAAAGCAATCACCCCTACCAATCTGAAAATGGATATGAGATAACTAAAAGTCCTTCACAGCAAGTAGACTCCTCCAGATGATAACATCAGTTGATGTGGCCTTGTAATTCCAAAATAAACCTCCTATCATACTTGTATCTAAATCAAGCTACCCAAAGAGCCAATTTACCCTGCAAAATAGTTCAAAGTAAGTACATTTAAAAGCTAAATTGACATCAGAGATCCTTCTAAGACCAAATCATCCTTCTGCTTTAGGCAAAAATTACATTGGATTAAAAAAAATCTCTTACCGAAAAAGAAAATACATTGGACCATTTAAGATGATGTAGTTTTTTCCTTACCTGATGTAGACCTCTGAATAAAATTCCCCGATCTTAGAATCAATCAAATTCATTACTTTAGAGGGAATATTATAAACTGAAGACCAGTAATGCCACCCATAGGAAAAGTGAATAGTTCATATCAACTCCACTCTACTAACTAAAGAGAGATGAAGGCGTCCTGCTTCTTTTGATAGAGTGAAGAATCAAAGGAAGAGCAAGATAAGTCAGAAGGACAGGTCCATTCTTGAACTTCAAAATGGTCAAAACAGTTTTGCTTCTTCTAACTGATTTTGAAAATCAAATTTGAGTCCTCAAATTTGATCTTCAAACCCGTAGTGACTTGGAATGATTGAAAAGATCCAAAAGAGTTTTAGCATTAGATACACTAGCCTGTAAATAGACAACTAGATTATCTGCAAAATAGAAATGAGACAGTTTCTGAACCACCTTAGTGGCTTCTTTACTCAGTTGCAGCTCACCTTTACTGATCTTCCCCTCCATTAACTGACAAAAGTACTGTCACTAAATAAAAGAGACTTATGTTTCAAACAAGCAAAGCACTAACAGCTGAAGATATGTAAGGATGAATAATCAGGTGGAGTCTGAACTCTGAACTAGGATTTCATGAGGTAATTTCCCCAGGAAAAATGCTTCAAACTAATAGGTTTTTGGCAATCAAGATTGAAAGAGCAAGGATATTCCCAATTTGTAATTTGTTATAGTTGGTGTTTGTGTTTTGCCATGCCATTAGTTTTGGAGGCACCTGAGCCCCTAAGGTATTTATGGTTTGTTACCTAGGTGTCTGATACATCAGAGTACATAGGGTTGAATACAGAGGGAAAGGGAGGTTAAATAGGTCTTATAGATACTTCTTTTTTTGTGAATGTGTGGTAATTACTCTCCTTGTTGATAAATGCACTTCTTTTTTTACTTTTCTTAAATTAATATATATATATATATATATATATATGTATATGTATATATATATCCCTATTAGTTGACACTTATTATGAGTTTAGAACACTAATGTCATTTTATATTAAGGCGCTTGTTTCGACGTAAAATATCTTCCTCAGAAAATATTTTCTATGTAAAAAATTTTCAGGTAAAATATATATCTATATATATATATATATATATATATATATATATATATATATATATATATTATTTTTCAGTGTTTGGCAAAGGTTCCAAAAAAAAAATTTCCTTAATTTTTTTTATTACATTTTTAATAAAATATTTTACTTGAATTTTGGACAATCAAACACCAATATATTTTCTAAAAAATATTTTACATCCAAACTAATGGAGCCTTAAAGTTGATTGCTTTTGTCAATAAAGGTAGTGGGAAAATCATCTCGTTTGTGAATATTTAACTTTTTCAGTTATACTCATTCCTTCTTCATTTTTTTTAAAGTAATGCTTTACTGAATACATCAATTATGTTGTAATATGCAGAAAGCCCATGTGTGAATAATCATGATGCAAAGCTTCCATACTCCATCTTGACTGTAAAGCCTGGTGACTTGATCCACCTGGTTAGGCGTGGAGCATCGGCACCTGCATCTGCCCCGGCATCCCTCGAAGTTAAAGACGTTGTTCATCCACCACTGCCTCCCATTTCCAATGTCTCTGCTGCATCTTCTTCTTCTTCTTCTTCTTCTTCTAATGCACCTGCTCCAGCCCCTCAACAAAGTGGTGGCATGGCAAATGTAGCAAATGTGGGTATTGGTCTTGTAGCAATTGTGGTCCTTAGTTTGCCTTCTATGGGATGCTAAACATTTAATGGTTTGGTTGTGTGAAAATTTATGTCAATCTTTTTGTATTTTACAGCTAATACTGGACTTTGTCTTTAACATCCATGAGTTTGTATAATAGTAAATCTGAGTAATCAGCTCATAGAAGAGTGCTAATATATAAATCAGACATTTTAGTCACGACAACTGCATAATTAAGACAATATAAGCGGAAGTGATACATGAAATTTATCTTAGTTAACAGATCTAGAGGGGTGAATAGGTCTAGTTTTATCTTGTGATATTTACTTAGTTTTTAGTAATTTAAACCACAGTTAACTAAACCAACAGAGTCACAGAGCTAAATAAAGAGCAAAACTAAAAAATTATGGTGCAACATACAAGGCCTCTCCAAGCGAATTTTTGTGAAGCTTGACAGGGTCTTTGTTAATAAAGAGTGGCTTGGTATATTTACTGGGATCCAAGGTGAGTTATTCCACTGCTAAATCCTCTGATCATTATGGTCTTGTAGTTAATATATCCAGGGATTTTTCGAGTGGACCGAAGCCTTTCAAAATGCTGAAATTATGGTGTATGCAAGGTTGTGTGACTGATATTGTTGAACAAGCATGGGTTGGTGAAGTCTCAGGGTCTCCTCTACACAGATTGCTTAACAAATTGAGGAATGTGAAGAAGGATATAAAAGATTGGAATAAAAATTGCTATGGGGATGTGGGGGACAGATTATCTCAGACAAAACAGCGGTTAGAAGACATTCAAATGAACCTCTTATAGGATTCTTCAAGGGAGATCTGTGATTTGGAACATAAGCTAGAGATGATTATCATGCTGCCCTCTCTGACCAAGAAATTCTATTAGCTCAAGAGCCTAGAATTTTGTGGCTAAGTGACAATGACAGATGCTCATCTTATTTTTATCATAAGGTCAAGCAACACAGGAACTTTAATGCTATCACTTGTCTTGAACAAGATAATGGTCATACTACCTCTGATATGGATGAGATTAAAGCACGTTTTGTCAGCACTTCCAAAATCTGTTTCACAAGAAGAACACAGATCAGTTTTGTGTTAATCCAAGGAAGGTTTTGGTTCAAGAGGATGTTTTGATTCTTGATAGAGAGGTCACTTCTGAGGAAATTAAAGTTGTGGTAATGAATTTTAATCATGATAAAGCCCCTAAACCAGATGGTTTTCCAGCTAGATTCGATTAGACATATTGGGATATTGTTGATAAGGATGTGGTAGCAGTTGTACAGTATTTCTTCTCTACTACAAATTACCTGTGGGGGTGAGTGGCTGTTTTCTTACCCTATTCCCTAGGAAAGGTAACTCCTAAGGTTGGTGAATATAGACCCATTGCACTCTGCAACTTAATTTAAAAGATTATCACCAAAATTTTGGTGAGTAGACTTGCTCAAGTTCTTCCTGATGTGTCGGGGTTGGAGTAGTGTGCTTTTATAAAAGGTAGGAAGATACAAGATGCATTAACCATGGCTACTGAATTTCTTAAAGATTTTGGCAGCAAACTTCATCCCTCAATGGCCATGAAGATTGATCTCATGAAGGCATACGACTTGGTTTCCTGGGAATTTCTCGTCTTTATTTTGCAAAAGTATGGCTTCAGTGAGGTATGGATTAGATGGATCAATGCTATTCTTCATTCAACTAGGTATTCAGTGTTGATAAATGGTTCCCAGGGTTTTTTCAACCAAGAAGAGGGCTTTGACAGGGATGTCCCTTATCCCCACTATTATTCACACTTGTTACAGAGCATCTGTCTCAACTTCTTTAAGCTGAGGTGCAGAATGGAAGGCTTAAGGTCTCACACACAGTCAGGAAAGACAATTCACAGTTGTGTCACATGTTTTTTGCTAGTGATTTGTTAGTCACTTGTGCTGCTTCTATCTCCAAGGCCAAAGCTCTTAACAAGTTTCAGAATTTTGAAGAATCCACTGGCTTGAAAGTAAGTCAACAGAAGAGCTGTGTGGTGTTCTCCAAGGCAGTTAGAAGGAAAACAAATATTTTGCAGGTTCTTCAATGCAAAGAAGAGCAACTACCCCTCACTTACTTGGGTCTTCCTTTATGCAATACAGGCCTAAAGAAGACTAATTGCAGTCTTAATTGACAAGGTAAATCAGAAGATTACAGGCTGGAGTACTAAACTTCTTTTTGTTGCAGGGAAGGTTGAACTTCGAAGGACTGTAATCACACCTCTGGTCTTCTACTGGTGTAGTATTTATACTTAACCTATTACAACAATCAATCTCATTCCGAGGATATGCAGAAACTTACTTTGGGGGAGTACAAACCATGCCAAAAAGCTTCATCTATTAAGTTGGGATCTTTTTCTAAAACAACGACAGAAGAAAGGTTCGGGATTAGGAAAACAACTGATATTCAAATTGCTGCAAAATGCTCTTTAGCTTGGGATTACATCCTTAGTAAGGACAGATTGTGGGTTCCTTGGTTTAAAATGAAATATGGCTAGTCATTATCCTATTGGAATGCTGTTCCAATATTATCCCATTCATGTGTTTGGAAATCAATTCTCTCTGTTAGGGAGATAATGCTACAACATTCCAGTTACACCATTGGAGATGGCCAAAAGATTTACCTGTTTTTAGACCCTTGGTGTAATGGTCAAACACTTCTTCAGAAGTTTGGACATAGATTTGCTAGAAGTCTACACCTGCCCAGAAATGCTAAATTGGAATGTCTGCAACAGAATGGTGTTTGGAATTGGTCTTTATTGCAGGAAGAAAGTTTTGAGAATTTAAGGCAGTTTCAGCAAACTATTCCCATACATAATGGATCTGATACTATTCAATGGAATGGTGGGAAGTTCAATTTCAAGAGAGCTTGGCAGGTTTGAGGGTGGAATATGAACAAGTTGGGTGGTCTAAATTGTGTTGGGGCAAGGTTAGACCAAGATGGTCAGTGAATGCTATTTTTCCTATGTTAGGCAGGCTACCTTCAATGGTCAACTTGAAGAGGAGGAAAATTCAGCTAGCTGCAAGATGTTCCATCTGTTTGCAAGGAGAAGACTCTAGAGATCACATTTTTCTGCTTTGCCCGTTTGCTAGATCCATTTGGCAGTGGATTGGTGAGGTTCTTGGTTGGGATTTAGAGATGATTGCTGGTTTTTTGGGTTTCTGGGATCTGGTATCAAGGTTTAGTCAAGAGCAGCATACAAAGTTTCATAAGAGCCTGTTCATTGCCATTATTTGGGGGATATATGGAAGGAGAGGAATGCCAGATTACATGGGAACTGCTCTTGTTCCCCTGAGGCTGTAGCTAGACACATGTTTTATGAAGTTCTTGATGTTCATCAATTATCAATCTCTGAGCTTTTATAGAGTCCTTCAGGTCACTATCCTTAGTTTGTATTGGAAGTGGGTTTTATCATTACGTGTTATTTTACTCTTGTTATATTATAAGGGTACGCCCTCTGTGCACCTGTAATTCTTGATCTTTTGCTATAATACCATACTAATTATGAAAAAAAGAAAAAAAAAAGAAAAAAAGATCTAAGTTGAAATAAGCATATCTGACCAAAAGAAAGCTCTTATTCTTATTTTTTATTTTTAGAAGACTAAAGTTGAGTCTCAAAACCTTCTTTAGAAGACTCAAGGTGAGTCTATGCATAACCCCTTCTGCAGTTGCATCTCTAGGGTTATACTTTGTTTTTTTTTTTTTTTGTCCTCTATTTTGCATACATTTCTCCATCTTTGTGATGTTCCGATTTTTTCCGACTTTTTCAATTTTTCTGTATTGCCGAGCACCGTTTGGCATGCCGTGTGAGTCTCAAGAGTTGATTAGTGAATTTATTTGAGTTAAGAACTCTTAGAAATGTATTCCAAGTCATTTTGACATTTTTGGATTTTCTGTCTAAGAGGTCCCATGTGGGCCCTACGTCAGGATTTTTCATGCTAGGGGCTATTTTTCGGGTTCAGTGCATTCCATATTTTATTATTTGGAGTATATCTATGTGATGGTGTGTTTAATTATACATTAGTGGCATATTATATGGTGTATATGCATTTAAGGGCATTTTTTTACTTTTGTGATCAAAGGTGGGACTCAATGACTTAACCATCACATGTATTAGTGGCCAAGTGTAGAATTTCTGCATTTCTTTCCTCCTCTAAAACTGTGGACTCCTCTCTCTCTCTCTCTCTAAAAACCTTATGTTAAAGCCTCTATTTCACCCCTTTTCCTTTAGATTTGATCTTTGCCATTGAAGGCGAAGTTGTAGAGCTCAACGAGAGCTTTGTTTTGATCGAGTAAAGTTCCATTTGCATGACATTGGTGAAGATGCAAGAAATCTCCTTCTTTATTATAGAAATTTTTTCTTACACTACAAACAATCCGCCTCTTTGTTCTTCTCTCACTTTTATTTATAGAAATTTACATTTTGCCCTAATTTCTTATATTTTTCCTTCCAAGTCGGAGGTTGATGGGCCTTCTTCCTCTGTGTGATGGTTCATCTACCCAAATTGTAACGACCCGCCCCACCACATGGTATGATATTGTCCGCTTTGGGCCTGAGCCCGCACGGTTTTGCTCTTGGGCTTTATCCCAAAAGGCCTCATACCAATTGGAGATGACACACTTACATATAAGCACTTCACCTTTCCTCTACCCAGGCGATGTGGGACTGTGCACCCGTAGCTCGCCAGTGTGGTAGCCTGATAGTGTCTCTCGGAGCCGCCCACAGCACACCAGCCCACAAGGTCCTCACAATCCACCCCCCTTGGAGGCCCGACGTCCCCGTCGGCACACTTTCGGCTGGGTCAGGCTCTGATACCATTTGTATCGACCCGCCCCACCACATGGTATGATATTATCCGCTTTGGGCCTAAGCCCGCAAGGTTTTGCTCTTGGGCTTTACCCCAAAAGGCTTTATATCAATTGGAGATGACACACTTACATATAAGCACTTCACCTTTCCTCTACCCAGACGATGTGGGACTGTGCACCCGTAGCTCGCCAGTGTGGTAGCCTGATAGTGTCTCTCGCACCCGCCCACAGCACACCAGCCCACAGGGTCATCACAATCCACCCCCTTTGGAGGCCCGACATCCCCGTCGGCACACTTTCGGCTGGGTCAGGCTCTGATACCATTTGTAACGACCCGCCCCACCACATGGTATGATATTATCCGCTTTGGGCCTAAGTCCG